ATTACTAAATTAAAAATTATCAATTCCTAACTTTATTAGAATAATGATTGACAGAAATGTGATTGGCAGATCACGCGACGTGATAGAATCCACATGCATAGTTTCAGCTCTAACCGGAAATGTCCTACGCTTACGCTTCGGACAATTAAGAAATGATCGAAAAAATTGCGAAATTGAACTATTAGAATTAATGTGGGAATTTAAAACCGAACGTGATTTTGTATCTGATGATCAAATAATTTTTTTTAATAAAAATAGATATTTTAGTTATAATTTTAGTAAAATAGATAATGTAATTATTTATGGCATAGATGATATTTCATTGGTATAATGCGCAGATGGAAGGACAAATTTAATAATCATCAATTTGATGTACGATTTAATGAAAGAAAGGCTGAAACAGTACAACGATATTTCAATTATGAAAAAAATGAAGGATCACGAGGAATTTTATTGGAAGAAGTTGGCAGATTATTTATGCAAGAGAACAAAGGGAAAATAATAAATAATTTCTTAATTTAGCTTATGTTGTAATTTATATTTTTATAAATATTTTTGTTTTCAATTAATAAAAATTGTGTTCTTTTTAAAATAAATTGGTCATTATTTTTTTTTCTTATATAATTTTATTTCTTTCTTTATATTATTAAAAATGGTTCGTCAGGGTGAAATTTATCTTTATTTAAAAAATAATAAAGGAAAAAAATTCGGTACAGAGCTTTATTAGATACAGGATGCACGAATTCTTGTATGCGAAAAGCGGTTACTAACCTTTTTCATTTGTGTATCCTGCCTGATCTTCATTCATCGTCCGAATTCTTTAATCTTTCGATTTCGTCTTTTAATTTTTTTATTTCTTGTTTTTTGTATTTTTTACAAAAATTTATCGAACCTAATTTAAAAAAAAAGATTTTTTTTCATTAGGAAACAATGAAAAGTTTGCCGTAGTTTCTCACAGTTGGGCGTACTCGGACTACCAAACAGGTTCTCAAAGACAACGGTAAAGATGTTTCCCTTCCCAACAATTTGCCCATCTTCTCTTTTGCAACATCAACGAGACCGGGCGACTCATTTGGGTGTCTCACTACAGTTCTTCGAGTGAGGTCTTGTAAAAAGTCTAACATACTAACCTTTTTCATTTGTTAATCTTCTTTCCAATTTTTTGATCTTTTTTTCTAATTTTCGATTTTCTGCGAACTTTAAATGATATTAATAAATATTGTATTATAAAATAATGAATGAATAAAATGTACCCATTTATTTTTACTCGACATTTTCTTTGATTTTGAATAATATCGTTTTTTGTTTCGTTGTGAAGTCATTTTTTTTTTACAAAAAAAAAATAAAAATATCTACTAATCATTTATAGAAAATCATTGTGATTATGGCGATTACTATAAACGCGCTACAAAAATGATTTGTGTATCGAAAAAATATGGCGATTACTATAAACGCGCTAATCAAGGGCCAGAAATGACGTCATTCAAAATTTAGAGATTTCTCCTCCCCCGTCATCATTTCCATTTAAGGAATTAAAAATCACGTGATCCGTATCTGAAAAATTTCTCTTTTTTTTTGCAAAATAAAATACAAACGATAAAATATAAGTATGTAAATTTAATTACAATAAATTATTTATTAAATTTTATTTGATATCACAGTTCTAGTTTAATGAAAAACTCCAATTTCTCTGAATTTATTAGTTTCAAATTCTGGACCGGTTCTGCGGACCACTAATGATAAAACCCGATTAATAATTAATCAATATTACTACATTATAGTACAATCTGGGGGATTTCCAAAAAAGATTGTGTGTAACCGAACATTGATCGAAGAAATCGGTTGTTCAAAATTTTTTTGATTGGTTATTTTAAGCTAAAGATTCATAGATGAGGATTTCTAGAAAAACTAAATGTTAGTTTATCAATAATAGTTGGAATAAACGCGTTTGAGTGTGCTTTTTCATAATCCATTGACCTTTATTCATAATCCACAAAACTGACCGAAGTATACTTTACCTTAAATTTAGGTTTTATAAGCTTTTTTTTTATTCAATTGTTTAAGAACTGTAACTGACTCTCACTTATTTTTGACCCTTAGTGAATGCAAAAAAAAACCACAGGCTAATACCTTATCATGCTTATTTGCTTCTCTTACTGAAAAATATTCAAATTCAAGCAAGTTAGTTTTATGTGAGACTAAACAAAAACAATGATGGTGACATACATCAGAAAAGGTAGTATTTGAACGAATAGGTCTTTTTGCTAAGTATTTTCCAGAATTAGAATCATTAAGTAAACATTTAGAGCATTATTCTTTTTGTGAATGACATTATAATCAAAAAATTGCTACTAATCATCTTATTGAGCATTTAAAATCAATAGATATGTTAGACGTCTTCTCTATCAAAGTAAATCAACGTAAACAATCGCGGAATGCTATTGATGATGATATATTTCAACCGACAATAATTGATGATAATGTGACTTAATCAATGATTAATTAGAATAAAAAAAAACTGTTAGCGAAATTGAAATTTAAGTTTTTTTACCAGATCCAAATATGAATAGCCTTCTATTAGAATTATCTCAGAATAAAGCAGACTTATCTGCTTTTGAATTTCAACGGCTGCAAGATATTAAACTTATAAATAAATATCAGCAAGTAATCTATGAAAATCAGCAAATTATCAGTGAATTAAAATCTCAAATTAAAGACTTATCATTTGAAAATCAGTTATTAAAAGAACAATGGAATAATCGATTCAATATTCAAACAAAACGTATTGCAGTTATAATAGAAATTGCCCCAAAAAAGCGTAAAAATGTATATGATGATATTATTGGTTTAATAAATAATCAAGAACGATTTAGTTTAGATAATCTTTTAAAGTATTCAATTTCTCAATGGCTTAATGATCATAATCCAGTTATTGTTAAATTTGTAGAATCTCTTACAAATTATGATAATAATAAAAAACTTAAAGGAGAGAACCTTTTTAAATGTGCTGAAATAGTAGATATGATTTATGGGCAAGACATTTAAAATATGTATCTGCTATTAATTTAGCAGCATTAGCGGTCAAGTATTCTATAGTAAAATCTAAACTATTATTAACATTGATAATTATATCATGAGTGCTGGTAGTTATACCAAATTTATCAAATGGCAAGAAGATTTAGCGGGTGAACCAGAATCATTTCCAAAAGATTATTATTTATGGCATTTGATAATGAACAAAAAGGACAAAAGAATTATCTAGATTAAAGATGTGAACTGTAATTAATATGTTGCAACATTTTGTAAATTTGAAATCAATTGCTATACCATCTTTAATCTAGATCGTGGATATAATACCATTATTTTTCATACTGTTACAAGTTTTGCTTTATTTAATTTTAATTCTACTAATCAAATACAGAGTCTTGAAAATCCTTGGCTATACTAAACCCTTAATATATTACAAATTAAAGAATTATTTAATCACACTCCAAAAATGCAAGCATTACTTAACTAACAGCTTAATGATTATCTATCTATTATCTTAACTGATGCATATGCAGAAAAAAATGAAAATATAAATCATATTGATAATCTAATTGCTAAACAAAATTTAAATATAGGTAAACAAAAGTATTGTCATGAATGTGGAAAGGATGAAATTGAAAACTCCAAGCGTAAATGTCCTCAATGTAATGCAAAACTTCTTATACTTGCTAAAACCCAACAAGAAATTGAACAAATAATGCCTGAAGAAGATTTTACAAAGTCCTTTATTTTTAAATCCCATAAATTTGAAACAAATGTCTCCGATATGCAAACAAATTCGAATAGTATAGCACAACAATCAACATCTCAAAAAAATGTTCATATACCTGATATTTATGTTCTGGATCCTTTACCAATAAATCCAAATTCTATTGCTAATGTCTGTAAAGTTTTAGATCATATTCAAGAAATTAGTGGAATTAATAATGGTGATTGAAAATGAATAGTAGTGATTTGTGATGGAGTTACTTACCACTATGCACAAAAATTCAAAAAGGATTATCTGTGAATACTCTTAGTACTGGATCCACTTCATGAGAAGATGAACATGTTAAATGCCTTTGTAGAACTAAATTGGTATTATTATCATTAATATTAATCATTCTAGAATTATTTCTTATAATATTTTTTTTATTTATACACGAAACTTTAGGACTATTGATCTAAAATACTTTGCACAATGCCAAGAATATAGAACTGAAAGTCAGCTAGGTTATTTTAAAAAATGTGCTGACCATTATAAAACGTGGGATTCAATATGCAATATTACTGGTATGGAATGGCAATAGAATTGGTTTGACCTTATGTTAATTCAATTTCTAATCCATCAGTTAGTGGGTTTCTTGAATAGGCTAAAAATCAAAAAGATGAATTATATAAATTAAAATATGAACAGGTATATTAATGATTAATATTCTTAAAATTTTATATTAATATTTAAATCAATTTTTTAGATTTTCTGGTATCTGCAAGCTATAATAACTTTCATACTGGAGTTAGAACCAATCAACCTTTACTCAAATCAGGTGCACGTAGAATATTTGCTCCTATTTGGTCTGCTAGGTGACATCCTATTTATCAAGCAATCAAGGTAGCCGATGAGAAACAACTAATATACCTTCGTCCTAAAATTCGTCAACTTATCGAGCAAAATGTGGTTGTATCATGATCGGAATAGCTAAACCAGCATCAAGGGTTAGATGCTATACTTGAAGAGGTGAACAAGATGTTAAAGACGTTCATATCACCTATATCAGTTCAAAAACATTAGGAGATAGCTGCGAAGAATTGTATAAAATTTATGGAGGCAAGAATAAATGTATCATTATTATTTGAAAGTATTATTTATTATTTTTTTTACAGATAAAATAACCTTACCTTCAGCATCAAAATCAGTTACGAAAAACATTATTTGCTGTAATCAGATATGCGGATTCTGAAAGTACTGGTCCACAGACACATTCTGATTATATAACAGAATCATAACGTTTTTGAATTCAATTGAGGAAAACTGGTTTTTTTAATTTATATGAAAATAGTCATCGTTTTGAAAGTTTAGGCGGAGATAATAAATTGAGCGAAGAAATAAAATCATTTAGTATTCTAGCTCATGCTCAACGTATTAATTATATAAAAGAAAAATTGACCTTAACGAAATTATCAGGATTTATTTGTCCTATTCCTATTACTTTCGATGAAGCACAGTTACAGTCAATGAAAAGTTCAATAAAAAAAGAAGAGCTAATATTTGTAATTGAAATATTAGTTAGATCCTTAAACGAAACTAATTGATCACAATTCCAAGGATTAAAATCAAAAAGAAAAGATGAGTTTTTGGTAATTCTGCAACAAATTTGGTATTTTCTCAATATAACTAATAATGATGAAATGGAAGATACAATATAAATAACAGGATAAAATAACCGTAACGTTAAATAAAATTTTTTTAATTTTGTATTACTATGGATCTTAATAAGCTTCCAGAATGTCAATCATTTACATATTTGGAATTTCTATATATGAAAAAACACTGAACTTGTAGTATTGTAAGAAAAAAAAAGTTTAGTTGATTAAACTTAAGTTTAACTATTGTAAAATTAATTAAAGTTGTGTGAAAAAAGATTGTTCATTAAAACCGTTCCCAATTTATTCAAAAAACTACATAATTACCAATATTAATTATTAATTTTAAATGTGAGATGATCCTACTTCCATAGTTTCTCTTTTGAGTTTTGCTGTTGTAAACTCCTTTCTTTTCCTTTGCTCTTCTTTGCAACTTTTTCCTGTTGAAATAATTGGCATTGCAAATTATCGTTTCTTATATAATTTGTATTTTCTTTTGTACAAACACTTTTATGTATTTTATACTGAATCCATCATTTTGTGAATATTCTGATTCTTCAATTCTCACGTTTGTTGCTTTTTTTTCAAATGGATTACTTTAATATGCTGCTTTAAAAATGCTTTTGATGGAAAGTATTTATGGCATTTTTAGCATACAAGATTATTATATAAATCTGGGAGTAATGTTGGAACAATGTTCATCGTAGCCTGATAGCTTTTCAAAATATTCCAA